ATCAAGTAAAGAGGAAAATTTTAGATACGAGAGTTAGATCGTGTCATTGTGGGGATCGATGGGGTAGGATAAGAGTTGTTTTTATATGGTGAAATTATATAAGTTTGTGAGTTATATATATATATATATATATATATATATATATATATATATATATATATATATATAACATTGTGGGTTGAAAACTCTATATGCTCACCAGGCTCCTAAGCCTGACCCACTCAGTTTTCTTTGTGTCACTACGAAGACATATTTCATTGAGAGATTAAAGGATATGTAAATCACTAGTGTAAATAAATGTATGTTCTGTTAATGCTTATGTGTCTGTATCGGAACATGACATCCCGCTATTTTTTGATACAATGAAAATACATTTCTTTAAGAAATGATTTGATAAATTCTTATCATAATTTTTTTTGGGAATAAATTCCGCAACCGTTTTCTTTGAAAGATTACTCTGATTTTTAAAAACAAAGCATAAACAAATCGGTCTTTTCTGGCCGTGAAATTGGCGATGTCACAAGATAAGTGTTGTATTCTTTCCTCTGAACTAAATATTGTTTTCATGATATAACATAGAGTAGGGAGGAGGATATGAATATCATGAAAGGCTTACAAGCATGTATTTATTGGTCGCTTCCCATCTCTTAGATATTTGAATCCCTTATATTTGTTGTTATCTTGTTTTCTGTACCTTCTGCATGTATGAAATATTGCATACAAATAGCAACCAATCATTCTAGTACAATATCCCCCCCCCCTCGTGCGCGCGCGCGAGAGAGAGAAAGAGAGAGTACTTCATTGCCCCTAGATCATTCAACTAAAGAGATGCGTTATGATCTTTGTGATATTGTTGCAAAGGCTTATATGCATCTTTTACTATATTTTTGACATGGACTGCAACAATCTCATGTCATGGTAAGGTGCAGCCAACAAGGATTCCATCTCGAAGTAAGAATGTTTTCGTGGTTTCCGGTTTATGATAGATTATTATGGTGATGTTTAAAAATAATATGTACATTTGATTTTGTAATATCTTGTTAGGATGTTTTGAGGCCATGAGGCATTAAAATCATATTTCCTTTTGTATATGTGTTTGTTATACTTTGTGGAAAAGCTATGCATGAATAAGATTGTTACTTACGCATAATCCTACTTGTCAACATTATGTTGGATTTCCGATTACCAAAATGGGGCAAATGTTTTTGTTCCACTGTCATTGCTTGAATGGGCCAGTAAAGTAAGGTGTTTGTCCAAGTATTCATGATTGTAGCAATTGATTGGTGACAACTCCCTATATACAAAATAGAGATTATATAATTCAATACAATACCAGATCGCATGCTCGACCAATTAGGGATCCAAGGGAAACCGACTTTGGAGTATAACATGATAAAATATATCTTTATAAGGCTTGAAATACCTAGCCATCAACCAAAGTAGGTGGCTATAAATATCTTATTGCAGGCCTTTGAGCAATATATGGACTCCTTCAATATAACTGATGCAAGATTTAGCTATGCCTAAAAGGTAAAAGTTTCCATATATATATATATATATATATATATATATATATATATATATATATAATATATATATATATATATATATATATATATATATATATATATATGATAGAAATCATCTGAGACCATTAAAAATTTATGAGAAAAATGATGTGTTTCTAATAACATATTTTAATTGTCAAAAAATGAAATTAAAAAGATGTAAAAAAAATTAGAAAACTATTTATTAATAAATTTTGAAACTTTTAATTTCAAAAAAAAAAAATTATCATCCATGTTTTTATATTCTAATATCATGTGTGTAAAATATTATCCATAAAAATATATCACGTGTCATATTTTAGTAAAATGTTACATATTATATTAGACATTTATAGTATTCTACTAGAATAATTCACATGATATAATTTTATGATTAATATTCCACATAAATGATTTAAAATAATACACATTACAATTTTTTGAAATAAAAAGTTTCTAAAAATATAAAGAAATATTGTTTTCATATTTTGTAAGTTTTTTAATATATTGCTAGATATATGTCCTCTTATATCAAAAATTCATTTGGTCTCAAATCAACTTTTATATATATATCAACTTATAGGTGAGTTAGTGTGACAACTTCAAGAGTTGTGAAAAGTTGAGAAATTCTAATCCACTTATCATTATTTTTTTTTGTAAATCCAGAACACCAATCTTCTCCAAATGGTTCGTTTAAACAATATCTAGACTTAAAAAAAAACTTTGATATTTTTTTTTGAAATTTACATGTATGTACATTTGAATGTTCATATATATATATATATATATATATATATATATATATATATATATATATATATATATATATATATATATATATATATGCTTCAGCAGTCCATATAACTGCTGATGATCAATATTACTATGAATAATGATGTGTTCGTAGTTCATATAATTTCCGATTATTAATATTACTACGAATAATCATATTTGCATCCGCAATCCAAAAATACGCAAGCATGCATATTTAGATGTGCATATATATATATATATATATATATATATATATATATATATATATATATATATATATATCCAAAAAAATTTGTCAAATGTTTTTTTTGAGCATTGATAACTCTTAGACGCACCATTTGGAGAATATTGTTGGTTTTGCTTTAGAAAAATGATGAGCGGATTAGGAGTTCTCGCAAATCTTTAAGTTCTCAAAAGATCTTACCTCTCTCTCTCTCAATCAGTCACTCACTCTCTCTCTCTCTCTCTCTCTCTATATATATATATATATATATATATATATATATACACACACACACATTCACATACACTTACTTTTAATTAAAGAATACTTTTCATGCCACGTGACATATTGTGGTTAAAATATCTAAAAAAATATCTGATCAACATTATGACTGCATTTATTTGTATCCAATCGTCACATACCTTTCTTCTTACCCTAAAATCAAATTATATATTGAAACTAATTCAAATTACGACTACTTTTTCACATAAAACTTTTTAATTAGTGGTCAATCATCCTATCACACCTTGCTAGATGTCATTTTATGCATCATCTGTATTTGTTTTTTAGTAGTGTTTTGTAACATCTATTCCAAGTATAAATGAACTTTTATGTATTAAATTTAGGTTGGGTGGCGACGACGTGGTGGAGAATAACCACGACATTGCCGAACGTTTTGGAACCGCGAGACTTAAATGACCCACTAGGATGTGGCGTTAGGGAACTGCGATGTGGCATGCGTTTTAGTGAAAACCCTAATTTCATGCTTTGGACCCTATATAAAGAATAGCAAGGCTAGGATTCTAGCCTCCATTTTCCTCCCAACCTCAGAAACCCTAACCCCAGCCTCCATTGAAGCTGTGAGCTCATCCTTGGTGCTTTTTGGTGATTTTTTTTTAAGAAGATGGGATCTCTTGGTGTGGTGGTTAATTATCAAGCTTCATTTCTTCAGCTAGCACATCTCCTGGACCTTGGTGAGTTTCTAGGTTTCAACCTTTTTCTTGCCATGTTACTAGATCCCTTGATTTTGTCCCCCTTTTCCATGTTTTGGATGACTTAAGTAATGAGATCTCATAAAGTTTGCAACTTTATGAATCTCTGATGTGTCGTATGAATCGATTATGAATTATGAGATCAGATTATCAAAGTATGAATTAAGAACACATGATATTATATAATCTGATTGGCTGATTTATGCTTTTGAATACATAGAAGTTTTTAGAAAGAACATATAAGATGACAAAGCTACTTTTTAACTCTAGCATTCATCCCATATTTATAGGGATCAGGAAAGCATACAAAAAAAAAGGGACTAAGATAGTAAAACCTTCGATATAATGTGCCCTTATAATAAACTTACAAATAGAACATTCGATACTACTCAAGACATAAACGAACTTCGACACCTCACAACAATATTCGACCTCAATGTTCTCCCCTATTGTGAGAAGTGTCAAATCTATGACATTATTAACTGAGCATGTTGGTGAATAACTCTTCTAACTTCAACATACCAATTAATCACGTTTTGAATTTCAACCTTTTTCTTTATCATTGTTCTTAGCACAACTATTCATTCGAACCATGAGATTTGTGTAATGAGGAGTGGTGTACCTCTCAACATCACATACTTTAAACATGAGTTTTGTGCTGTTTCCCTTCTTGTTTTTACCAATAAAAACAATTCCTAGAGGTTTCAAGCAAATCTCTCCATCTTCATAGTTTTTCAAACTAGCCTGACTTTTTGACATGGATTGAGGAACTATTACATGTTGTCCCAATTCCAAGTCTAGCTCAGCATCTGTTAATGCCAAAGAACCATAGTATCCATCTATAAACACCTTCAAGTGTGCAAAACCAATTTCAAAATCTTCTTTGTTTGTCACTTGTAGCTTCGATACATCAACTGTCTTCAAAATCTTTGCAACACTTAACAAATCATTAAGATTCAAATACATCAACTGTCTTCAAAATCTTTGCAACACTTAACAAATCATTAAGATTCATTATGGGAAAGTCTGTAACCGAGATATCAAAAGCTACGTTGTTGCTCGCACTGCATGATATCGGTAATTCTGCAGCATACCCTCAAATAGAACATCTTTGGATACATTGACAACACAAACTATCTTGACTAGAGACCAAACTTCCTCTTCCCTTTTTCCTAGCACAACTTGTAAACAAAACTTCATTCATTTAAATTTGATTTTGTCTTTGTATTTTTCTTCCATCTCGAACTGCTCATCCAAAAGCATCATTATATTGATGGGAAAGTCTAGCTGATTGAAATTAGAGTTCTATGTATCATAACTCTTCTTAGGGACTTTTTCAAAATCATGAATCTCCCCTGTCACAACCAAAGCTTCGATACACTCATAAGTATAATGTTTCGAAGGATCACCTTTGTTGAGACCAGGAGGGTCATTTGGCCTATGACGAAGGATACCTTGGCTTTTTCATTGTTTCTCCATCTCCTTTTCAATTGCAACTTTCTTTTCTTCGACAGTAGGCTCAGTGAAAATACCCTTTCCTTTGTTCTGTATTTCTTCAGTGGAAGGAGGTGGTTTTGAAGAACTTAACCCTCCACCAGCAGTTCCAATCACTATGCCTTTTGCTATCGGTTTTGTTGTTGTTGTTGTTGATGTTGTTATCGTGGATATCTTTCGTAATGAGGTGTGAGTTGAGTAGTTATCACCTTTAAAACAACCTTTTCATCATCATCTCCTTTTGAAGATCCACTACCCCCATGCTAACCTTCGAACTCACCCCAATGCCAACACCAATTCCTTCTCCCCCTTGCACCCCCTGTTTGAACATATGGGGCATTCGTTGGTATTAAATTCAATAAATTGGCTAATGGAGCCAACACAGCTTTGAGTGTCGACTCCAAAACAGCAAACTTTTAGGATAAAGAATCAGGAATAATCAGGGAAGATGATGAACCAATCTTCAAGACTAATTCCTTAAGGTTAATCAACGAATCTTCAACCTTAGAAAAACCTTGTGTATCAAGCTATGCTATTTTTATCAACCTTCGGAATTAAGGATTGATACCATTTCACAACATTTGTAACTGCAGCTACAATGATATCTACTTTGGTGTGAAGAGTAGAAAAATCATGAGATATAAGCAACTTCCTTCGCCATATCTACCCGTAACTCCTCCAGTTTGAGATTAACATATTCTCGAACTTTCTTAACCGTGTGAACATATAGTAGATGTTTTTCTTTCGCCACAGCTTTTAGTTCTTTCAGTTCTTGATCAAAGGATGATGATTGAGCCTTGACACAGTTACGTCGAATTCTATTCCCAATATTGAATAACGACCCCCTGCATTTATCTAAAGTTGTAATAACGAGTTTAACTTCCTGTTAGGAGTTTGGAACTATTTACCAGACATTAACATATGATCTGGTATGTTTTCTTCCTACGGATCAAATTCGAGATTAGCAAATGTACCCATAAACTCACCATCGTCAGTGGTGGCATCACCATTAGTTGTTTTAGGGCCATCAGTGGATTGGGATGGAAACAGAGAAGTAATAGGTTGTTGAAGGATTTGATCAAAAGTTAGAGAATAAGTAGTTGGTGGTCAAGTGGTGGAAACAGTAGAAACAAATTGTGGTAAAGAGAGATTGGTTGAAATGGTAGATATGTCGAAAGTAGAAGACACAACAATCGTAGGATTACCTTGAGCTTCGTTGTTCAGCACTCCTTCACCCATGATGACATTTGTGTCCATATTAGATATGCTCACAGGGATGCCTAAAGTTTGAACCTCCTCAGTAACTGATTCGGCATTCGAAACTCTGGGTGGTATGAGAGTAGTCTTCTTAGGAGTAGATTATTTTGATTGATCACCCTGATTAATGGTTGTGTCCACATGAAATGTTTTCATAGAGACATCAAGATCTCCAATCGCCTCGACATTCTACTTGATTGGAGAATCTCTCTTTAGTGATAAAACAAGCATATCATGACCAGGAACAGGTGATTCTGGTAAAACTTCGTCTTCATCTTCAACTAGCACTCTCTTTTTCTTCTTAGCAATATTTTTAGCCATGTCTTCAGCCCTCACTTTTTGGACGTTGGAGAGACAGGAGTTGGAATCTCTCGAATCACAACACCTTTGCGATTAATTTGGGGGCTTACGAGAGATCTGCAAAACATCTTTGGGAGAAAAACTGGTAGATCTCTCAGGAGAATGACAAGGTCTGTGAGCCATCTTTTTCAAATGTTTCAAAATCCCAGATTTCAAATGCATGACCTGATTCACAGGTGAAGAAGATTCTTCAACAAAAGTATTTTGTATTTTCTTTGATGGTTGATCAAACTTAACAACTTTCTTTAGAGTAGCTTTAACAACCTTATCCACTTGTTTGGGTTTTAAAGTACTCCCCTTAGCTTGTTTCTTTGATTCCTTTCGCTTTTTCGACATTTCACCAGTGCTCTTTGGAAGTAAAAGTCCTATTTCAATATAAGGATTGATAGTTTGCATGTACGCCACCAATACAGGATTCGTGGGATCAACCTTTCTAATAATTCCATCTAGAATTCTTGCAACAGTTGGAAAGATATTCAGATCATCTTTGACAGTCTTGGAAAAATGATATAATGAGAATTCAGCCGTTTGTTCATCTTCAGGAACCAAAATACTTTCCTTTTCATAAGCAAATTGAAGAATCAAGCTCCAATACCGAGCACATGAAATCCCATGAACAAGATTCATATTCCCAATACTCTTTACAAACTCATCCCATAATTGAGTAGTGTAATCAACTGGTAAATCATAATAGATTCCTGCAACCAAGGCATAAATCTCCATCTTTGCCTTATCTAATCCAAAGCTTCGACCACTCAAGCATCGAAGGTAAATTCTAAATAGAAAATTCCAGATACAAGGTAAGCAAGACTTATTGAAATCACTTATCTTTGTAAGAACCGACTGATAACCCATCTCGTTGAACATGTAAAGAACTTGTTCATTCGAGACCTCATAGAAATTATAGACATTAGGGATATTCAGGATTTGTGCAAAGAGCTTATTAGTGAGTTTGAACTTCTTATCATTTGTCAGTTGAAAGGTAACTAGTTTCACCGACTTGTTATAAACTGCCGTTGAACCAACAAGGGATAACCACGAAATGGTTACCGAGAAAGAAGAAAACATTGCAGTAGATAACAACGAAGTTTTCAAAGCAACAATAAGAATCTATAATTCTTTTGGATAATGATCAACATCGGGATTAACTCGGAAATTTGTGCTTTGGATCTTCATGAAAGGTTGCGAAGTAATATCATCAGTCGTTTGAGATGCTTCAACATTTGTATTCTTGGCTGCCATTTTTAGGGTTTGAGAAATTGTGAAGAAAACAGAGTGTTTGAATGACAAAGTAATTTAGGGATTTTCATATTGTTTAAAGTTGGAATGAAATCCCCAAAACCCTTTTTATACGTAAACCCAAGTTTGAATTTGAAGCGGTTTGAGCATTAATTATAGATCCACATGTCACCTAGAAACTCGGACCGGTAGTGGTAAAGTTAGCCACGCCTGAAAAAGTGATGATCACTTTTCCTTGAAAACTGTGTAGTAACTAGAACGCCATTTTCATCAATCTGTTCGATAGTACCAAGAGGATAGGAACCGTCAGCAACCTTCAGCATGGAGGTAAGGCTCTTTCACTTTTGGGTTGTAAAGCAAAGTCATACACCAGAATTTTCAAAATCATCTACCTGAGTTGGTATTACTCATAACCTCAAGGATTTTGGTGTGTGAAAATGTGTACCAAAAATAGGATGAGATCAAGAAAAAAATTTAGATATGTGATGTCAATAAAGAATCGACATAAAGTAGTAAGATCCCAAGCAAAGATCTCTTCGTTCTACATTAAGAGAGATGCCGAATAGCTTGTGTGGTTTCCCGTGAATTACAATAAAATACTCATAGAGGAGTGTCGAAGGGAATATTTTAAAAAACTTTATGAGTCAGCTCAGATCTTATTAAGTAACAAGGAATTAGAATTGATATCCAGACAGAAATCATATTCCAAAACAAAATTAAATTCTGGATCTTGTTGGGTAAAAATGTTGTGGGTATCGAACATTTTAGCAAGGCCACTCGAAATGAAAGAATATGATTTTGGATATCGAAAGATGGTACTGAAACAAATGTTTCGTTAAAAACTTGAACTAAAAAGTTCACCGTCAATTACTTATAAGTTTCGAAAGGTTGGGTTTCACTTTCATCACAGTCTCATGAATCCAAATCATAAACACAAAGTGTTTACATACCTATAACCTGGTTGGTTTCGACCAGAGATCTCTTGGGTATGTGTCATAGTGTGATTATGAAAGAACTTTAGTTTGAAAAAAGTTGATTCAAGATTCGAAATGTACCTCTGCTATAATTGGACCAAGTAGAAAACTCTGAACTCATGTGAGAAGAGTAAGGTAGCTCAGGAACTAATGTGAATATAACCTAATTGGGAAGGAATCCTTATGATGAGAAAACCGTTAAGGCTTCAACACATTGAGTTATGGAGGCTTGGGTCAACATGCTGCAACATGCTTCTAGGGACATCTTAACTAGTACAAAGTATCAAATGAATACCTTTCCCAAGAGCTGCGAGCCATGTACTACTTAGAAATGTTGGACAACCAATTATACAAGCTCGTTAATCAAATCAAAACATTTTTTTGAGATTAGAATGAGAAAAACATAAATAATAAAATCTTTATGGTATTTTTGATTTTTGAATGAAAATAACAAAAATAAGAAAATCTTTTTGGTATTTTTGATTTTTGAATGAAAAGAACAAAAATGAAAAAAACATACTAGACTAACGAATATTCACAAAATAATTTCAACAAGATAATAAAAGTATCAACACAACGCGTTGAGACAAAGTAACGAACCTTTTGATAAATCAGTCAGGGGAATGTCGAAAGTGAAGCATGTCAAAGGTGGTCCGATGAACAGTAACCTCTGAATGAATAAAAAATTCGACATTAACAGTCTTTATAACACATGTAGACCAGGAACTACATTTGCATGTAACATGCCTAAGCCCGCCAATATTCGTAGAAAGCTCTTTTCATCCATTGGTTTTGTAAAGATATCAGCAAGCTGATATGTGATCTTTACAAAGTGAACTTCAATGTTACCATCTTCAACGTGACCTTTGATAAAATGCTAATAAAGTGCAATGTGTTTAGACTTCGAATGTTGCACAGAGTTTGACAAATGCGTATAACACTTCGTGAATCACAATACAATGTTACCATAAGACTTACATTTCAGAACTCTTTGCAAAGCCCCATGATGAATGTTAGATTGAACCCTATTGTCGATCTTGTGATTCCATATCTATTGCACTTGAATATTAATTCATTCATACGGTCATAGTACAATTCAATGGATTCTCCTTCGTTTTGCTTAAACTCTCTTAATTCCAGCAAACATTGTTTGACTGAACTGATTTTTGTCTTCTCACTACCCTGATACTTCTCCTTCACGGTGTTCCAGATTTCCTTTGAAGTTTTGTAGCTACGAACATAATTGTATACGACAGGTGGAAGAGCACCTGTAAGTTCTCGCATACATCTCTTTTCATACTTTAGCAATTTTTCAGATTATTCATTAACATTTGGATTTGTAGCAGAAGTTCCAACACTACGAATAACAGAAGGAGGATGTACATCATTAGTAATGCATTTCCATAGTTCCTTATCAATACCATTCAAGTAATCTTCCATACGATTAGCCCATTAATTGTAATACTCAGGAATCAACATTGGAATATTTGTTGATGATCCTAGAAGATGAGAAAAAGAGGTCATGGTGTTCATGTTAAAGTTTTCCATTATTATACAGAAGGTTTTTAAGAAAAGCTATAGGAATTTGAAAATTGATGGATGAATCAGCCATAAAATAGAAATCAAACACTTGATTAAACAACCTAAAAGCATAATTGAATCACTCTTGAAGATCTAATAAGATTTTCAGAATCAAAAGTGCATAAACTTTTGAATCTAGATCAAGCCTCAAAATACTTTTGAAACTAGAGAAAATCATATCAATGCATAATGATTCCTGCTCTGATACCAATTGATGTATTGTAAGAATCGATTATGAATTATGAGATCAAATTATCAAAGTATGAATTTAGAACACACGATCTAAATATAATCGGATTGGCTCATTTATACTTTTGAATACAAAGAAGTTTTTAGAAAGAACATACAAGATGAAAAAGTTACTTTCTAACTCTAGCATTCATCACATATTTATAGGGATCAGGAAAGCATACAAAAAAGATAAGAGACTAAGACATTAAAACCTTCGATATAATGTGTCCTTATAATAAACTTACAAAAAAACATTCGATACTACTCAAGACATAAACGACCTTCAAAACCTCACAAAAATATTCGACCTCAACAATCTCCAGATCAAATAGAGCATTTAGTGTTTTGGATTTGAAGTAAAATCAGGTTTTGATGTCATGCATGGGGTTTTGGTCATTAAATTCTATTTTTGACCTAAAATGGAAAGGCATGAATTGGACATGTAAGTCCATAATGCCATGATTTTTAAGGTCCCTTAAGAGTAAGAAATATTTCTAGAAACTTTAGAGGTGCAACTCTAAGCATTCGGTGCTTAATGAGAGTCTTGATGCATTAAGTTACCATTAGTGGTTAGAGTTGGGACTTTAGATTATGGAGGGGTTTGAAGGATAAAGTTGGAAACTTTAACCATCAAGACCATAGGGAGGACCATAACGATGCTTTTGATCTTTTGTAGCTAAAGGAAAATGACTTATTGGTTTAAGCTGTCCAGAATCGTCACCACAACGTGGTTCTGGATGCTACAACCTAGCGACTGGGTCGAGAGCCGCCTGTTTTGCTGGTTTGTTGCCATGATATGGCGACTAGTTGGGTTGAATTTGATCGATGACTTCGATAAAGTTTGACCTAAGGGTATTTTGAGCAACTGAGTGAGATTTGGTCACTGTTTATTGTGAAGGTGATCAGTAGAGTTTGCATTCAGCGCAACATGTTGATTAGTTATCTTTCAAACTGAGAGGTGAGTTTTCATCGATGTACTTGTGGGTCGAAGGCACCAAGGCCGACCCACTAGATTTTTTATACTGGTATATAGGATGTTGTTATGTTGTAGTGACCAGTTAGATTTGTATCCTAATATATAGGATGTTGCTATGTTGTAGTGATCTTTTTGATCTGTATCATGGTATATATGATGATGCTATGTTGTAGTGATCGGTTACATTTGTATCCTGGTATGTAGGATTTTGTTATGATGTAGTGATCTATTAGATCCGTATCTTGGTATATAGGATGTTTCTATGCGGTAATGATTTGTATATCTGTATAGCTATATATACTTGCCGGCTATTGATTATTATTGTATATCTTGAT